CGCCCCGTCCAACCTGGTCTAGTGCTGACAGCTGCATGCACATCTTTTAGCCGAACGTGCATAGTGTCCTGCAGTGGCCCTGAGATATATATAAATATATGTTGCTGCTGCCCATCCCAGTCGAGTCCCGCTCCGCTGTGTGCGCAGTGTGCTTGTTGGACCAGTGGCCGCCCAGGTGTCCACATGGCTGCTGTTGTCCAACATCGCGCTCGGCAGCCTTGACATGCTGTGCAACCCAGCACCGCTCAATTGCCGTGGGGTCGCATGGCCCGTCATTCACACCATCACGGCTCCTCTTCGCGCTGCAAGCACCGGGAAGCTACATACATACATAATAATAATAATTACATTCATGCTTCTTTTTTAGTCTTAGCACTAACATTAAACGGCCTGCGGCCGACCCCGAGATGCAACTAACCTACGTCAGACACGATGATCTGCCGCCAAAGGGGGAAGCCCGAAGGCTGTGAGCCTCTTTGCCACTCAGCTTTTGCCTCTGAGCCTCCAGCCCTTCCGGTATAAACACCGCAATGGTATGATACTAACAATAATGCCTGCGCTGCCAAAAGAAATAAAAAAGGATTAGGTTTATGTATGTTTGGGGAATCTGCATCGAGGCCTCTCGAACCATGTCCATCCATGTCCCAACTCTCAAGAATGTTAATCGGAACCCCCCATCAATTCCATGGTTCGCTTCCCTGCTGCTTATTTCGCATCATGGACCAGCATAGTTTTCTATGTTTAGAAATCTAGTTTGATTGCCAATCGCAGCCAGGTGGCCAGGGATCCAGAAATCTGCACACCATTCCTCTCAAAACATGTTTGTGAGAGCTGCAGATTTTCGTTCTGGCGCTATCAAGGCCGGGCGCAGAGAAGAGGGGTTGTCTGACTCGACAAAGCCTCAGTGGGAAACACGGCTGACCTTGTCGCCGGTTTCTGCCAGGTTTCATGCCCACAATCGCCTTGTCAATCATTGTTTCGACCGCTCCGCAAGTGCTAAAATGACTTCATACGCGGGTTCGTCGAAGCTAACTAGCGGGCTAGCGACTGATGCTTGCCAAGGGTTGGCAGTTGCGTGGTTTTGAAGGCCATCGCCTTGCGTCGGCTCATCTATCGCAGGCCACCAAGGCCAAAAAGACGGCTTAAAGTCCTATAACTAGCCAGTATTGGCGAGACATCCTGTGTCCAGCTGATCACAGAGCACACTTGAGCTCTGCAAACCTGTCCAAGCACCTTGAACTGTGCCTGTATTCTGGGCTGGTATCCGCCCATACCTAACACAATTTTCCGACGCAGAAAAGGAAAAACAAAAAAGAAGAGAGAAAAAAAAAAAAAGGAAAACCCAAATCAAACCCTGTATGAATGCCCAGGAATGCTCATTTCATCTGGGAGAATTGATTCGTGCATCTATGTTTCATGGGATTGCAGGCACGGCACAAAAATGAGCGCGAGATCGGGGCATCGCAAAGACCACCCTATCCTGCGTGTATCTCGCCCTTCAGGCCTGCAATCGACATTTGCACCACCGCGGATGCAGCGCATCCTTGTTCCCCCGCCCGCATCGACAGCAAACCCGGCCGTTTCCCCAGAAGCGTAGTCGAGATTGCTGACCGGCGAAGGGCGCGCCCGCGCGGGTTGGCAAATCTGCACCGGTCTGCAGGGGGATGTTTTGCGTCGCCAGCAACACGTGCGGGGCTGCTCGAATCATCCCTTGCATCGCTCGTCGACTCTTCACGATGCGAACGAATCGCACGGAGCCATACCGCACCTGGGCTGAGCGGGCGTCCGCCAGCGTGTGTGTGCCGCTCTCGCGCTGACCGATCTCCCCACGCCCTCCCACATGGCGTTTTTCTCGAAACCCATGAGGCACGGCAAAATAAATGCAAGACCATTCCCCGATTGCGTATCTGACGGATCTCGTCCAGGATCACGCTTTCAACCGAGCCGTGCGGGCTGTTCAGGGAGATTCACGCGAAAAACGTGAGTTGACAAGAAAAAAACATCTTGCTGCGTCGTATCTGCGGAAGTTCTTGTTGCATACACCTCCATCTGGATATACAGGCAATTCGACGAAACTCCTGAGTCGGCTAGGGTGCGGCGTGTTCTACTGGGCGACTGCTCAGATTGCGCCTTGTACTCCGTTCGTCCATCCGCGGAATACGATGTCAGCGACCTCAACGCCCGTTGCTGTGGAAGTCTGCCCCTTTTTCCAAGGAATGACATGCCCGGTTTCGCTTCAAAGACAAAAAGCAAAAGAAAGTGAGCGTGGAATGGAATCGTCCACACGGTTCGATCAGGCTGTCTGCGGCCCTATTGGGACTTGTGCTCCTATCATGCGCACTCAGAAACGTCGGCGATTGAATGAGCGCAGTATGTCGATTCAATTGTGCTACATATGGATGTGCATGTATGTTGACACATATGTACAATGTGGATGAAGTTCTTTTTCCTTTTTCCTTTTTCCTTTTTTTGTCGCTCTTCTGAAGCACAAACCTGCTTGAAGGCTCCGAAAAGTCGTTCGACCGAAGGCGACTGTGTCGTCCGTTGGTTACGCATAATTTTCGAGCCTCCAGCACCGTTGCTTCTTTGGGTTGTACATCTCGCTAGTTTCTCGCCTGTCTCGGTTGCACCACGGGGCTGGCCGGCGAGTGTCCTGACGGGCCGGTGCGCCCATCGAAGGCTTATACGTCATCATGTGCGATGTATTCTGTTCCGGAGGCCAGCTAGCCACGATGAATATCTTGCCATGTCACCCTTGCACTGGCTGTCTATTGGTGCGAACGGGATTCTTTGGATCACAGCAGCACAGCAGGCGAGCGTATGCCCAAAAATGGACCTTCGCTGCTCTATCGAGTAGACACAGGAGCTAAGTTCAGTGTGAGGTCGACATTCCTGCCGGGCCTTAAAAAGCAGGCACCAATGCTTTTCTCAGAACGGGCCGAGACCGCCTTCTACTGCGTTAAAACCCATGCCCAGCTTATTGGGGAGGGGTTGTTGGATGCTTTGGAAATGCCTGGTGCAGGGCTCCATTGGACAGTTTTTCAGCAACCTTCTTGCGCCGGGTTCTCGTGCCATTGAAAACTGAACCATCTCAAATAGGGTGGTTGGACTCATGCCCTTCGCGCACTCCGAGGTGGGATGGGACCCATCGGCTGAGTGAGTGTGCGGAATGAACGGAGGGAGTCGGGTGCAGACGGCCTAGATGTGGCCTTTCGGCAAAAAAATCTGTGTGGCCTGTGCTTCCCTGTTCGTCCGCCACTATCACCAACATCCAACAATAATAGATGCAGATGGGCGTACCACTTACATCATTCTCTGCCCCCCGCCTGGGGTTGGTTTTGAAGGCGGTTTGATTTTGCGGTGGATTAAAATCAAGCAAAATGCATGCACTGTGACTAATCGCACCCCAGCTTAGTCATTCTTTCTGCCAATTCCGCCCCCATTCAGCTTTGCGATATTCGAAAAAGCAGATCATTCTCATGCCTTGTGTGTCCTGCTTACGGCCGAATCTTGCGCGACTGCTGACTTGGCAACTTTCCGTAAGCGTATCAAGGCCCTCCAGCGAGACAGATTTCCCAATATCTTGTAACTTGTGCATCACGATGCACAAACTAGAATCTCAGGTGTTGCACATTTTCATGTGTGTTTCCTATATTTAACCTTATGGGAACTTTATGTCTTTTTTTACACCTCTGTACACCTTAGAAGATGTGACAGATATAAACCTTTTCGGTTTTCGCTAGGGGTATGGTAACAGGAGGATTTGTCATGTCAAGGGACACTCTGAAAGCCGAACAGAGATTTCATCTCTCCTTGAGCCTTTTGTCTAACATTGACAGTCGGTGAGCTGATGATTCCAAATCATTTGCTACCTCAGTATCTACTTCCCAGGTTACCCATGATGACGATTTAAGTTCCGATCCCGAAATATGAATCTATACGCGTCTTTCGAAGAGCAATTCTGGAGAAGAAGAAAAAATTTGTTCATATAGAAATTGACCCTGACATGCATTGAGAATCTAAGAGACTTTATTATTGGAGGAGTCGAAAAAGGAGGTATAATGGTTGTAACAGGAAAGGGTATTCATCCTGCCCTGTTGCCCATTTATTCCGGGACAAAATGTCGGCCACCATTGGAGGGTGTTTTGGTATCCCGGACAAAAGTTCAAATATTATTCTGCCACTTCAACCTCCTTCCGATAGTACCTTATAGATAGGTATTCTCTCTGTATTCTTGCCAGGGCCCAAGCCGGCACCCAGGCTGTAAATAGCATCGTATCTTAAATGCCGGCGGGAAACGCTCTCAGCATACATTCTGAAATGATTCGTGTATTGTATTTTGCCACTTGAATCCTCCTCAATCATCTCGCCTATTTCTCAGATTAAATTGACAGGTTGGTTGTCAGTTGATCGACCCTTAACCTTAAAAACATGAGGCTGATACTTGGCACAAGTACTCCTAATTTCGACGGAAATCGTGCAATTTCCTCGATCTCTTTGCTAGTTACCCTCCGGTAGCGGTCAGTAGCGGGATAAAAATATTACTTTTCGAGCTATCAATCTAAATTTGCGGTAAATTTCATGAAATTTGGAGCTATAATATTTGATGCTTAAGTTTGGCCGAACTTAACAAGCGTCCAGGCACTATGGCGGAGTGGTTATCGCGTCAGCCTAGAACTAATTGAAAGCTGATCCCTTCGGGGGCCTGAGTTCGAATCTCAGTGGTGTCGCTTATCCAAATATTATCTTTTTTGACCCCATTTTGTGTTGGTTGGATTGTTCAACCGTTTTGTTCATTTTTTTCGTTGCGTGGTTAAAGTTTTCCTGTGGGGTAGTTAACTACGGAGTCCGGAGCAGATGAAAAATGGTAGTTAACCAGGTAGTAGTTAGCAAGTTGGAGTCCATAGGAAAGAAGCAATTGCATAATTGATAGATAGATAAGATACTATTTGAAATGAAATACAAGCCAGAAAATATCTACTCTGTATGGCGTTTATTCCTCAATATTTAATCACCCTTTTCTTAATATGCTTGATCATTTCTGTCGGCAATTCCTCTTCTTTGATAAAGCCCAAGGCTAACAAGTCAGACCAAAAGAATAATGCCCGATCTTGAGCATATCCTAAATAATCAAAATCGTCTGCCAATTCCTCGGCTTCCGCCTCTTTTCTGGACTGCTCATCGTCGTGTTCCGAATTCGCCTTAACAGGCTCTACAGTAGAAGCCAGATCTTTCGACTCGGGTGGTCCGGATGGCGACTTGTCAGGGCCATCGAGAGCCTTGTTCAGTCCCGGGACAGTAGCCTGAACGATCCCCCACGCAACCCATTGTGCTGAGTTAGCGACCCGCCAAAGACGTGTCTCATGAACGAGTTTCTTCACTTCGGCTTCTACGGCAGGATTTTGGCCTTCTAGGTCTGCGAGCGGCGGATTTAAACCGGGAACATAAGTGTCGAGAGCAAAAGGAGGCACGCGTGGGCTGTTGATGTATGTTGCGCGTCCAATTGGCGTCGGTACTGGAGTAGTAGATTGCGATGGCGGCATAGAACCGTCAGCTCCTTGAAGTGTGATGACCTGTGGTCGATGTTTGAGATAAGCGCGGATAAAGCGTTCTTGTTCTTCTGGGCTCGGATACCAGCTTGTATGGCATCCCCAGGGTCGCTCCGAATCGTGATAATTGTAGCACCACTCAGTCTATAATGAAAGAGTTATCAGCACTATCACTCAAGAAGCTGGAATTGGATTAAACATACAAAGTGATTTGCAAACTCTACGCCCCGCATATTTGCGGATGCATACTCGAAATCAATAACGATGAGCTGTTTGTGTTCGTTCGCAGGTAGCAACAAGGGGGACTCTTCGCTAGGTTGCAGCCGAAGTAGGTTGCCATACTGCGTCTAAGAGACTATCAGCAGTTAGAAAAAAAAGGGCAATGAAGACCGGCATACATCGTTATGTGCGAAGACCAAAAGTTTCGCAATCTCTTTTTCACCGCCAAATTGATCATTCAACCATTGTCGATACTTTTCTACAGCAGCCCGAAATGTTGGCCATGGGACACAGCATACAAAGCCCCGCGATCTCCAATATTCGGCTGGCCGTTTAACATCATCTTGCTGGGATAATATCTGTTGATCTAACCAGGTCGCGACTCTTTCACAACGGTCTTCCCATTTATCCCAGTTTCTCCACAGTTTCGGACCATCTTCACGCTCCTCTGGTAGAAGCTCAATTCCATAGTGTAGTTCTTTCATTCGCTTTGCTATTTGTTTAGACGTTTCGGGAATACGCAATTCAGAAGTAGTCAGAGGCTTTGCATTGAAGTATTGCTCAAAACGGCCATTGTTAAATGTACCAAGAACACGAGGCCCAATATTTTTCTTTCCTAATCTGCGAAGTATTTGCAGTTCGTGTTCTCTATCAATGAGATGTTCGACTTGAGGCCCATAAATGCGGAGAAGAAGCTTTCTGTAGTGTGCATTAGAAGTCTTTAAGTCCGCTAATAAATGATCGTCACTTACGGAGGAGGTTTTCTTCGCATAGAAACAAGCGATGTGTCGGAGGCTTGAGAGACTGGAAGATTTTTAGGTGGTGAGACAACATAGACAGCATTCGTTAGGGCACCGCTTAAACGTATGACTTCAACCTCACCACCGGCTTCCAAGGGAACTCTTCTCCATCCTTTGATTCCTAAGGTATGAGAAAGGCGCACAATTTCGGATTTGAATTTTAGCCAGCTTTCGCGATCTTTAGTGGAAGGCTTGCCTGTCCGAAGTGCATCGATATCGCCATCTGCTTCGCCACCAGAATAAAGCAGTGTTTTGGAATTGTCCAATGTAACGTCAGCGCTTGGGGCAGCCTGATCAGTGTCGGTATAATCAGAATCCGAAAGTGACCCTCGCCGGAGCCCCTTGGCCAGAGTTGGGCGCTGTTTCGGAGTTTGTGCACCTTTAGGACGGTTGATCTCTCGAGAACTCGAGTATTGTGCAAGAATACGCTCTAACTGATCAAGGGCCAGTTCTGATTCATCAGCACAAGATTGAGAACTTGCCAAATTCGGGACTTGAGAGACGGAGCGTTCAGTTCCGCTAGTCCCTCTTCGTTCAGCCAATTTCAATTTCTCATTTCGCAACCAGCCCAACACATGCAAGAAGAGTGAGTGTTGGGCTTGACGAGAGTCATCGTTGACTCGTGTGCTGGGATCCGCATCCTCAAGGGAAGAGCTGACTGGATCCAACTTCAAACTAGCCATCTGACTGCTAAGGGAGTTCAGAGATGAAGACGAAGTATGAGTCAATTTCCGCGCTATTACCTTCTTCCCGCCAACAACAGCACGAAGGCCTACTGGCCGACTTTCGTGTGTGGAATTGCCTGGGATATCTCCATATCCCGCTAATGTTTGGACACCTGATGTTGAGACTGTCGCGGGAATAGTGTTTTCTATGGTAAGTTAGAATATAGCAATCTTAAATTAAGCATAAACGCGAAGTCAACAAATCAGGGGCTCGGCCAGACAGAGTTATACAAGAGCAAACCAACAAACATTGCGCGTGATACCAGAAAGATATCTGATTGCCATTGGTAGTGACTTAGCTAGAGATAGGTATGGCTATCAAACTCCCTAGGACGAAAGCGCGGAAACTTGGATGGCGGGTACAACTTACCGGCAGCTTTGTCCCCTGATTTTTCACCGGCAACATTTTTCGCGCTCATACTTGCCCCGGGTTCGGCTGGCAGTATAGCGTGTTGGGCGGACATGAAGTGGATATGGGGCCAACCCTCGGAGCATGGGCCTATGGCAGGGTTCTTATCGGTTCTAAGGCTGGTGAAACAGAAACTGGTAGTTTCAACCTCATATACAAGCAAAAGCTGATAACAGAGCACCAAAGGCTAGCACGCTCCCTGTATGAAGCGCCTTATATATACAAAATCAGACACAGGATCCCCAAAAATTCCACAGTAGAAAATTCTGGTCCGGCGTTCATGCTGTGGCAGATAAAAGCAGCCTTCATGCAGTTCTCTAGCACCTCAGAAGCAGGGCTGGAGCAACAAGAGCAGTGTTCGGAGGTGCCTACTGCAACGAGGGAGAGCGACGAAAGATCAGGCGATGTTGGGCAGCTGAATCCGGCAAGCCATCACATGTGCACGCCACGCCTTGGCACGTGACTAACTAGTTAGGCCTGCCCGACTTGGACGCGACAGTGGCCCAGGTGTGCTGTGTGATAGGGTGAGGCTAAGCATGGGGCACAGAGTGCCGCTACAGTGGCGTAGAAACAGGGTGCGTTATAGAAACGTGTATGTATACGTATGTGCCAAAAAGCCTCCCGTTGTCCCGCCCACGCAACCCCCGTTTTATTTCGGTGTCCAAAATCCATCTTGATATCTACAATGCCTAATGAAGTGGAAGTGTGCACCTGATCCTTCATTGGATCATAGCGCCGAGACGGGGAAGAAAAAAGCAAATAAAGAAAAAGAAAATTGACAGTGAAGTCAAAAGAAATTCTTCATAATGCGTATAACGTCAGCCGCGTATAAGGTAGTTATGTACTATAAAATTAGACTTTCTTGCACACGGTTGTATAATATTGCTAGATTCGCTACCAATCAATACGAAGGCGTTTCATTTTGTCCTATAGCTGGTATATTGATTGGAGTTTTCGGGTGACGTGGACCGGTAGGGACGAGAGGAAAGCGTTGAAGTTGGGTATTAAGCTTTTGTAGCCTTGTAGCACCTGCAATAGATCAAACAACTCATTAGCTTATTCATCTACGAACTACTTATTGTCAAGCAAATGAAATACATACCTGATTAAATGACTGCTGCAAGCCCATAAACTCTGGCTGCGCCAACGCTTTTGCTGGAAATAGAGCAATCGCATGGAAATACGTCGGAAGACAAGCCTCCATAGCTTTCGGGTTTTGTTGAACGATCTGATTGAATCCCATAATCGATGTAGACTTCTCTCGCGTAACTTCTACCTTGGACATGGATCGAAGGTACAGCTCTGCAAACTGGGCAAGGTGCGGCGCAAGTTGTTCGGCGCAGCCAGTGCCAAGTCGTCCAAGGGCAATAGCAGCATTTTCGTTCACCGAATCAGGCACTTCTTCATTACTCATTATAATCACAAATGCCTGGTATAAACCTTCCAGATAGGGTGCCATGTCGGCCTTTGCGCTTAATGCAAGCTCTCCGCTCGCCCAACAGGCATTGTTGATCACGCTGAGGCCGCTCATAGCTTCATCATCTCGCATCGAATCCAAATCAAGCTGCTTGATTAAATTTGGGACAATAGTGGAAAGAAACGGCTGAAGTTGAGGGAATAGTTTCATTGCACAATCACCAAGCAAGGCATACGCCGAAAGTCGAACCTCAGAATAAGGGTCTTGCAGGCAGTAGCATAGCAGTTCAAAGAAAGGCGGCTGGGAATTTGCCACAAGTTCACAGCTTTTCTGTGGATCAATGGCCTGGATTATTGAACTAAGAAGGTCCAAGCTTGTTGTGACAAAATCCTTGTCCGGCGCATCAAGAGCTTTATTGTTGACTGCGTGTAGGTACCCCTGAATATTTTCGTACACGATCTTGATGGATCTAGAGAACATTGGCGCGGCAAACGGTGAAAAGGCGTCCTCGTAGGCTGAGGCAACATAGCCTAGACATTCGAGTAGAGGAAATAGTTCACGAGATTGGTCAGACACTCTGTTCCACCTCCCGATTAGCGCCGGCATCAAAATCTCGACTAAATGAGGTTTGGCCAATTCAGACCCCACTGATTCGGCAAGTGTTTGCACGCAATCGTACAGCACATATATATTTCGATCCTTATATTTTTGGAAACATAACACGAATTGGCGAAGAATTGGTTCGCAGTATGGTACTAGATTAGCTCCCGATTTCTCCTCTAAACTAGTGAAAGCGGATGAGGCTGCCTCTTGAACTTTCTTATTGTTATCCAGCATCCAGTGAAGAATGCCTTCCATCATCGGTTCAAAATACTGGGTTTTCTCGTTTGGTTCCAGATTTGCTGCCCATTCAGAATACCTTCCCAAACACCAGCAAGTGATCTTTCTAACAATAGGTTCCGAGTCGGAGAGAAGGGAAATCAGGTATGGTACGAGTTCAGTTAGGTGAGGCGTAACGGAATCCATGCAACCATCTGCAATTGCCCCAAGAGCTAGAACAGCAGCTTCTCTGTTTGTCCATTTAGCGTGCTTCAAATTGTCCCGTAGGTAGGGCAATATGAGCTCAAAGACAGGCTGATGGTAAACGGTGGCGAAGACATCAAGAGCAGCAGCGGAACATTTTCGAACGGTCCATTCGCTCTCGGGGTCATCCTCGCCAAATTCAGAGTCATCATCAATTTCGCCATCGCTAAGTTCACCATCTTCCTCAGGAGTCTGCCCATCACCATTGGACTGTTCAGGTGTTTTAGTGCTAGGTAATCTTGAACCCTTGTTCTTCGCAAATTGCGGTCTTAGATCTTCCTCTTTGTCCTCGACTTCAGCGTCGTCAGCTTCTCCGGCCAACAGGATGGCATCGTCCTCATCATATATCATACTTTGAAGCAATACGGGAACAACTTTTCCAAGGTAGGGTACTAAAGATGGCTGCAGTTGTCTCTGCTCGCCGACTGTTAGCCAGAATTCGGCGGCATCCAACGCAAGTTCTGGATCTTCTGGATTATTCTGCTGCATAATGATGTAATTGACCAACCCCTCCATATGCGGAACCAATTTGTCCGGAGCAACATCAACGAGCTGCACGATTGCCTGGCAAACCGTCTTTCGTACATCTGTATCATGGTCGTTCGCGAGTTTGAATAGCTCGTGAAGAAATGTATCCAGGACACCCATGAGAGCGTCAGACCTCGAGGACAAAAACATTTGGATGGTCGACAATGCCATAGAACGCACCTTCGAACTTGGGTTAGAGGTGAAGTCCATTAGCTTTGGAAGAATGATATTTAATGGGCGTTGGCCCTGATAGTCCTTATCCAGTATCTTCCGGTTATCTTCACAGACTTTTTGTAAGGCTGACATCGCCGACTCTTGAGTAGTTATTGGAAAAGAGCCGGCCGAATTGGCGACCATGGATAGAAGCTCCTCGAACAAAGTTGGCCAGGATAGCACGCCGCCTTGTTTGATCATTTCGGCAATCACTGTCCCTGAAGCCCTTCGCACTTGAACAGAGGGGTCTTGCAATGCGATCATAAGGGAAGAGCGCAGGTATCCTAAGCTGCTTTCTGAGATAGTTCCATATGCTACCCGCAACTTTGACTTGATGTTCATCGCGGCGGATACGCGCACGACAATGTATTGGTCGCCATCGAAACCAATTGTCGCAGGAGGTTGCGTCGTAAAAAGGAGGTAGGAAAGGTAGTTGACAAAATCGGGCGATGATGTTGCTTGAACAAGCATCTAGAAGCGAACCAAAATATGTTACTCAATGTGAAAAGAGCGAAACAGTTCACGGCACTGCTTTTAGGTGTGTTTAAGACAGGGCGGTAGATGTCTGGCTTACCTGCTCGGCGTGTTTCTGAGCAACATGATCATAGGCATTCAAGGAGTCATTTAAAAACCTGGCCAACTGCCGCAATGGCTCCTCCTCAGGATGCCATTCCATATTTCCTAACAATCAGGTGGCGGGTTGCCTCCAGCTTAAAAAGGAAGAAAGGATTCAAAGTGAGAGCACAAGAAACACCTCCTGGATGGGGTTTCACCTAGGAAGAATCCATGCAGATTAGTTATTTGAAATGAAGCTGGATTCACTCAGAAATCGTCATTTGGCCTCACCTGCTCCGTGGTTACTATCCGTCTGATGTTGGGCTGGAGAGGTAGAATTTAGCTTTCCCACGGAGGGTTCGGAGGGGTCTTTTTAGTTTAGAGAGTGGGTGAACTCAAAACATAAGTTAGAATCTGACAGCAGCTAGCTGGTTCACAAGAGCCAGTATGTAAAACAAGAAACCAAGCACAAAGTCTAAGGAAGTAGCACAGAGGTGTTGGAGGGAAGAGCGACACCGCTGGCACCTCAATTGCATGAGCTGGCGTTGAGTGAAATAGGGCCGCCGGGCGGCGCTGCTTTGGCGCCGAAAGCGTCGGCCCAGAGCGGCCACGGCCGGCAGAACTCCTGCCTGCGTTGTTTGGTCGCTTTCGTCTTGCATCGCCAGCTGCTTTATGTCTGTCTGGCGCTTGGGCGTGGGCTGCCTCCTAATCATTTCTTTTGACTTACCGCCTGCTTCACTATGCTCTCGAGTTCATCTACAAGCGCTCGTTACCCAGGTTTTGCCACTCGGTTAGTTACATGTCACTTTGCTGCATTTGAACCCCACCACAGCATGCAGGGGTTGAGACAATGCCATTACAGCCTATTATCATCGAGTCCTTTCGCAAATGGGGGCCACAGCAATGGCAACAAATGAAATGAATGTAAAGAAAAAACATTAGGTGAAAAAATTATTGAAACAAAGGGGTATCTGATTTCGAGTTCACGCCCAGACAAGTTTCTTAATATCAAAAACCAAATGCTCCAAATATCCTGTCCGTTTCTTTGCATCGGCGACCGATATTATCTGTGCCTCTTCGACTATTGATAGTTCTTCCTCGTGAAGTGTTGAGCCTCGCGACTCTTTGACTACGCGTTCAACATCAGCACAGATTGTACGCGCCGTGTCCAATTCACTGATAGTGACCTTGGGTGGCTTGGGCGAAGTAACAGACGTCGTCTGTGGTAGCTTAAAGGCAACGTATCTATTGGATGGCGAATTAGGGCTTTGAAGTAGGGACGCGAAATCCCAATCAGCCGTACTGCTTTTTGCATCAAGTTGTGCTTGATCGCTGAGACTCTGCAGGGAGCGCGTATTCACCCGTAAGATATTTTTCCGCCCCGGCGCGTAACTAATTACGATGCCAACATTTCGCCTTTCATCCATCTGTGCTTCAGTCAGAGTGGAAGTAATATAGGTGCCATATTTTATGTTAGTGATAGAATCGAGATCGATGCGTTCAAAGGACGTGACTTTCTCTGTATTCCAGTCAAAGCGACAGCAATAGATGGCGACGTTGGTGAGCAACAAGACAGACTGCTCAAACGGAAGTGACCTCAGTGTGTTGGGTTCCCGGGGACTCAGCATGGTCCAGCCTCCAACAAGCTCCTCTTTGTCATCTCCAATCACGATTTGGCAACTTGTCTCTATCGCATTCTGTCGCATTTTTTCCAGTGAGATCCCGGGGTCCGTGCTACAAAGCTCTGTTTCAAACTCGTCAAAAACTGCCGTCGTAACAAGCCCCAGAAGGTAATCAATGCATGCCTGAGAAAAATAGTCGTTCACAATATTATTATAATACCGGGAGAGCGTTAGGCCCAAATCATTAAGCGCTCCTCGGTAGTCTCGTTTTCTGGTTCGGGTGTAATCCCCCTTGAGGGCAGCCGTGGAAGAGTATTGTCGCGAGATAGCATCCCCATTATCCGCCCAGAGTATGTTAAACCACCGGGTTTTAGTGCTGGTCTTAAGGTCAATAAAGTATCCCTCTTGTTTGAGCTGCTCCTCTAAGGCTTGTTGACCAAATGCACACTGGGTAACACCTGTACGATCTAAACAATCCATGCAGTTTGTTCTAACAATACCTGACTGGGGTTTCAAAATGTGGTTATTTTGAACAACAGTATATCCATAGTCATCCAGAGTGCCAGACAATTTATCCACAAGCCGTTTTACGTTTTCGAATTTCATTCCCCGACACTCTGAATGAAAGTCAAACCACTCGTAGCCAACATGACAATTTTCCGAGTCACTGTTAAGGTTCATTGTATTGAGATACTTTCCGTAAGCTTGTCCAATATTGACTTCAACACCATGCTGATCGAGGAGACATACAGCTTGAACTTTTCCATATCTATTCTTAACATCTTTAAAGTGCTTGTTAAATGAGAGTTGGTTTATTGCATCAGAGTGGCGAAGTATTGGAACAGGTTTGAAAGTGTAGGGTGATTGTGAAAAGTAGAGAGGGATCGAGCCGCGCAATTGCAGCAGAGAATATACTCTGTCTGCAGGGTTCCAAGACGGCCTTGATAGGATTTGTTCTGTCTCGACTGTATTGGCCGTATTCCCGTCATCGTCAACTCCCCGTCGAAGATAACGAACTCCGGATCTCTTCACGGAACGGCGAGAAATCAAAGTGATGAGAAAGCTGTTTCTTTCTTCCTCGTTCGGTGAAATCGAAGGCGTTTCTATATTGTCTATAAAGGCTGAACTCGTGCTTGCCGGATTCTCATCCGATCTTGAAAGAGGCTCAGCCGAGAAACTTTGTTGCCCAATGAATCCTTGCATGATAGGCAGGGCGAACTCGTTCTGGTTACACTCTATAAATGGTGAGACTAAGTGCTTGTTCCAAAAGAACTATATTCAATAAGCTGATGATATCAAGTATTCAGTCAAGGGGGAAATACCAGAGGATCCGCCCTAGTTGATAGGGGATATCGCAGCGTTTGTTGGTCCTGGCACTCAAAGCGCCTGGTAATGTCATATTCATAAGAAAAGTAGAAGCTTCGCGAGCCAAAGAACATTTTAGTGTATCGCAGAAATTTTGGCATCAGTTCATAAGTCCGTATTTCGCTGCCAGCTACATTGGGTGGTGGCGCCAGCTTCCGTCCCGAAGAGTCAAATTCATCCAACTCCATGACATCGTTCAATTCGTACTTCAAAGAATCCTTAGATTGGCGTCCGCTAGCGGCTGGATCACTCAAATTTCTAAACGTTAGGTCTCCAGGGGTCTTATTTCCACCCTGCCAAAGCTTCTCAAAGAACCATTGGCTCGCAAACCTGCGATACCTACCTCTTTTTCTGATAACATCCTCTGCAATATTACTATCTCCACTGCTAAGGGAAGCGGACGGAGATTGCTCGCCTCGATCAAGGGCATCTTCGAATGCATCCGGGTTTGGCTCTTCTTGGGTGGGCGCATCCGACTGATCAGTATCGCTTTCAGATGTCCTGTCAGCTTCAGAGATAGTGTTTCTACTCTCCTGCTGAACTCGCTTTGCGTTCAATATGGCCTTGCAAGCATCCGCTTGTGAAGATAAGGGAATGACGGAAACACCCGTGATTACAAAAACGGGTTTGCCTAAAATCTGGGCGACCTGTTCTCGCTGAGTGATCGAGATAAGGAAGGAATACGAAGCAACCGAGAGCAGGCCTATAGAATACAAAGTTAGCTTGCATTCAAGAGCTGCTGAATCCAGGACGTACCGATAATCCCGTGCGCCTCTAGACTATGGGGGTTTTTATCCTGGTATTTTACTCCCAAGGGCACCGGCTTTATTTTTCGACTGTTATAGTCAATGCGCAGTGATGAAAACCCTGCATCACTGTTATTCCGTGTCCCATTCCCATACGGCTGTAGGATCAACCCATCAACTGCTGCAATAATTAGTAGCTTTCGCACCAGGCTGGGCATTGTAGCGGTGCTTTTAGAAAAAGGACAAAAGGCCCCATGGAACACATTGAAATGTCAGCATGAGGTGATGTGTGGAGTTTTATTATGTGCGACTGCAGCGCATCCCCCAGGCCCCTCTTTCACATTATGCAGATATTCGCCAGTCTAGTTAATATCCCGCATGGTATCAGCGAGCGATGGCGGGCACCCAATAGGCGCTGCACGTGACTGGTGGGCCTCGGGGGCATCACGAGGGCATGAAGAAATACGACGGGGAGAGGGCCCCCAGATCTTGCAAGTCTGAACTCAGAAACTCTCTGATGAAATGGAAATCTGCTGCGGATTATTCTGTACCAACTAATTATACTATGCTAGGCTTGATCGCTATTCCAAAAACGCCCTTCCCCCCACGCTATGCCGCACGCGCAGTCACCGAATAGACAAAACTGAGCTTGAGGCCTGTTGACTTGATACAGTTTGAAGCTCAAGGGACACCGGATACTTTGGCATTCGAGAATCAAATGACGGTGGGTAGTCGGTAAGAAACTTTGGCTCCGGATACATCTCAATTCCATGTGTGGGCGCTTGCAGCGTCTCTCTTGCTTTTTGCCTGGTTCGGGCCCTGTGTCGTCGCCTGCAATATATGTAGGTGCCGACAATCCCGATACATACAACAACAGCTCCCAGTGTCGCTACAATGATAATAATAATTTGGGAATTGCGATCTTTCGCCGTACCTCCTGTGGAACCCGAGGGAGGATAATTTAAAACATTTGTGGGCATCGACTTATCGGTTGGTCGGACGCAAGCTCTAAGATCGGTTATCAAGGTCACAGTGGCAGCAGTACATGTGTTGTTCACCAGTGTATCAGCAGCTAGATTGCGAGTGGAATGTTAGTTGGGTATTTCTGACCGGATTCTAGGGATAAGAAGCATACCCTTTTGATCTTCAGGCTGGCAGTACATCATAACGCAGCAGGCGACAGAACTATAAAGTTGAGATGATTTGCATATGCACTCATCGTGCTCAATACGCCGAGGAGCACATTCGAGCTGAAGCCCATTGTTCAAACAATTCTTCTATCATCCCAAGTTAATTAGGCAACACCCCCTATATCTTCAAGCATGATTCTCGAGCGAGCTCTTGCTTTTGAATAGATTCTCTTCTTTTTCTTCTCCAGGAAAAAATAGAATTTTCTACATACCGCGCAATTTGAAAGCCCAGTGTCATTCCAAGATAGTCCGAAACCCACAATGCTAGCAATGACAGTCAACCTACTCCAAATCTTCATTGTGGGACCGAGCAGCCATCATCCAGGTCGGCGAACGGAATAGCAGTTTTTCGGGTTTCCAGATGAAATCAATGAGGCCGCGTAGTTGTTTTACTTGACAAAATCTCTGCAGTCACATTGAGGCGGACGGGCCTCTTCTTGACCAGGGGTCGTATCTATGTACGGATGCACCTGGCGGTCAGGAGCTGTTTCGATGTAATGCCTCCATTAAAAGGAACGAAACATTGAAGTTGATTTCAGGAGAAACTAGTGTCGCCACTCCCGTGCTTCGTGCTCCGTGCTCCGCATATTTGTTTCCGTCAGACAGTTGAAGTACGGAGTACGTACTCCGTGCAGAGGAAATGGAGGTACTCCGTACGGAGTCGGCAAAGACCTTATTGTTGGGAATAGGGATCACTAAAGCGGTGGGCCTACTCCATCTCACCCGTCCAAGCGAATCCAGCCCATGTCGGTCACATCTTGGCAACGCTGGGGTGTGGGCTAGTTAACTAGTTAAGCTGGTCTCGCCCTGCATAGACAGGCTTTGGTTTCTCAGCACCCCGAATAATTCACTACTAGAGCGAAGAGAACCATGGTACTCCGTAGTTCGAAGTTGAGTTAAGTCACAGAAAAAAATAGCATCTAAACTAAGTCAAAGATACCAGAGTATATGGAGAATAAGCAACTGCAATGCTAAATATCACTAAGGAAAACCTGAATATTGCAATATCGCTTCATAGTATCAAACATGGTGGCTTTCTTTCTCTCTGTCATCTACAAAGCACATGGATTTTTAGCTTCCATATAGAAACCCACATATGTAGCTTCATCTAATTGTCTGCCTAGACTATTTCCAGAGCGTGGAGGTGGGCTAACTAGAGTGTTAGTCTAGTTAAACGGCGTAGTATGATACTTTCCTCCATAGAGCCTCAGAGGAGTCTGAGCCGCAGATACCCATTGTCTAGGATCTTCTATTGCCATCTCCCTAATACTTTGCAATTTCAGCGTTGCTGCAGCCTCTAAGACAGCTTGAATTGCCTGAAAACTGTTCTGAAATTCCTTGTTTTGAAAGTCATTAATATTCAGGGCACATGCCATTGTAACAAAGAGGGACCAGGTATTCACTCATGGAGTTGTTGCTGCCCTGCGTTGCACACCCTTTCCGGGGCTATGAACATGGGGGGGTCAATAACTGTTGTAGCATGGGATGCAACATTGCAGATACCAAAATCTGCGAGATAAAAGTGGTAGTGGCTTTTTGGAAATGTCAAATAAAGAATGTTGGCCGACTTGACATTCTGACATATAAGGTGTTTGTAGGTAGGATAATCAAGTGCTTGAAGCATTTGATTGAGAAGAAAATCAGCAATGAGGATATCACCCTCCAGAATGCCTTGGGCAAATAAGAGCCTCCACGCTGCCATCCTGCAAAGCTGTGAAGATCTCCATATGCGGCTCAGTCATTTGATAATATATGACTAGCGACCTATCAGTCAGTATATATTCGGCATATTTTAAAGACGGGAAAGGATGTACTATAGTACTCTATGCTTTTAATGGTTTTCAACACTGCATCAAAATCCTATTAGCTAGTTGACTGTTGTGATTGGCTCAAATCCATGTTAAACATTACTAGCATCGATGATATAATATTCCGCTTAATCAGCCAACTAACCAATCCTTGATTACTCATCCAATGCAGCTTTGCGACCCTTTTCCTTAGTGTTGAGCAGGAGTCAGGTGACTTGTCAGGTGACCAGATCTCCAAAGGAGGAACTGAAGAACCATAGGTTCACCACCTCCTCTTCTCAACCATGGTACCAATTTCATTATCTTTGACTATCGGGCTGGCGGAGATTTGCTAGGGGTTTTTCATATGTTTTTCCCATAGTCTTGGTTATAGCATGTTTGTCTATAAGTATTCTTGTCTTGTTTGTTAGGAGCAGATCTAGATGCAATATTATAGATGCTCAGTCACATGATCATCATGTGCTTCTGTGTTGTCCAATAGTTATGAGCCCAGGCTCTTTCAAGGATTTGGTTGTTATCTAAAGATACATTCAAGATACTTTATTTTACTCTTGTTACCCATATAAATAGAGGTCACTATTAAGTATCTTGAGATCATACATTGAACCCCCTATTTAAGCTTAAACCTTAATTGCAGAGTTCACAGAGATCTAACACATCTATATAATTTTTACTGATCTAAGCCTACAGAAAACCATAATCTAGGGTCAATGTCTCACTTCAATAATTAATTAAAAATGAATAAATCATCTAGAAGAGTTGTTATGCTGAATAGTTCTGATGATTGAGAAGAATGAATTGAAGACATCAAGCATCTAGCAAATCTCCATCAATTGTGGCCATATGTCAATCTGATAAAAGAAATGCATCCCAAACTTCAGAAACTCATTATAGAGAATTTTCTTTCTTCTGGGAAAACTGAAGAAACTGCAACTTCTGCAGATATGAAACATGCAAGGAATATGCAAAGAGATCAATACAGAACTTGGAAGAAGAGAATCTTAGTGATGCAAGAGCTACAGAAGACAATAAGAGACTGTGTAGATTCATCTCTGAGAATTCTTACAACAAGTGAATCAGATGGTGTAGAAGCTACTGCAAAAGAACATCTGAAAGCTCTATATGCTAGAAATGCAGTGAATGCTTCTCAATTGAAAGCTAGACTAGTAGAGAGATTCAAAATTCTAGAAGACAGGTCAAAGAATCAAGCAATTGAAGCATATTTACTGAACTACAAAGAAGCATTAAATTGGACTACCATGTATGATATGTGCAAATATATTCACAAGTCTTTTGCCTCCAAACAATTTCTGAAAGCAATCTCTCAGAATTACAGAGAGTTCTTCTATATGTATCTGTCAAAGCTTCTAACTGAAGAGAATTTGAATCAGAAGCATGAGCTGGATGTTTATAGATATATTTAAATATTTCAGCAGACATTAAAGGAGGATCCTGAGCCAGGCCAACAGAATAAGCCATCAGCATATTCCACTGAAAAGATAGTTCAAAATAAGCTGTTGGGGGAGAATAATGAAAATACAAACTCTGCATGTCTTTGCAGAGAGCATCATGGTTGGGTGTACTGCCCATATTTTAATTCACTTGTTCAACCAACAGGCTGGAAACCAGATCCAAAAATTGATAATAAGATCAAGAAAGCATTGAAGAATCCAGTGAATGACAGAAAATTAAAGAAAAAGATTGCAAATTGAAAGAAATCAAAGAATTCAAATGCTAATGAAGAAGTTGGTGCTTCAAGTGATGCAACAGACAGTGATGCTAACAAAGCTGTTGCCAAGACATTCTCTAATCTGACTATCTTTGCTTCTGTAACAGTTTTTAACTCCACTAACATGAGCAATAAATATGAACCCTATTCATTACAGGACAGCTTCATATTAGATGGAAGTGCAGATGCACATATTTGCAATGATTTTACAAGATTTCAAAACTATCAGAATGCTGATTCTTCAGATATTGTGCTCATTGGAAATACTCATTGTAAAATTCATGGATATGGTGATGTTGAAGTTTATACCCAAATGCTGGCAGATGCTGACAAGATATTACTAAAGGATGTTCTCTACATTTCTGGCTTTCATACAAATCTAGTAGTGCATGAATTGCTGTGTGCAAAGAGTTGTTATTTGGATGATGAGTCTCTTACAGTTTACTATACCAGCACAAGGGATATCTTGTTCAATTTGAGTGTTAAAGAGAGAAAAATGGTTGTTGAATACAGATCTATTAATGTTGCAACAGACAGTATAACAAAGAGTGTTTTTACTGCCTCATTGGGTGGAGATTTGATTAAAAAACTGTTGATGGTGTTGGTCTCCAGTTTGCTAGAAACAATGAATATTTGGCATTTGAGACTTGGTCATCTAGAAAGAGAGCCTCTGGCTCATCTTCTGAAGATGTCTATCAACATGAAATTTGCAAAGATCTCTCAGAGTTCTCTAACAGTGGAGTGCAGATCTTGTGCTCTTTCAAAAGCAAAGCAAATCATATGCAGAACACCATCAGAAGAATCTATGTGTCTGTTCATGAAGATGTCTGTTGATCTCATACAGTTTGCTCAAGATTATAATGGAGATAGGTGGGTGGTTCACTTATATTGTGATTATATCCATCTGCACTATGTGGAAATGATGCAGCAAAAATCTGAAAGTTTGACATGCACAGCAAAAATGATAAGAGTAATTCTCAATTTATATCAATTGACTATCTTGACTATTCAAATTGATGGAGAGACCTCTATGCAGTCAGAACTGGCAGCATTGGCTTAAACATATAATATAGTTGTTCAACATTCAGCATCCTACATGCTGACTCAAAATGGAGCTGTGGAACGTGCGGGAGCTTTAATAACAACAGCAGCATGTATAATGTGAATTGAAGCCAACTTGCCTGAGAATTTGTGGCCAGAATGCATCAAGGCTGCAGTGTATATTTTAAACAGAATTTCAGTTAAAGATCTTGATTGAAACACTTCTCTTGAATTCTTAGAGAAATATCTTCAAACTGCAACTTCTTTAACTGAAATTAGGCATATAAGAGTTTTTGGCTGTAGAGCATATTCTTTAATTAAGAATGCACAATACAGAAGAAATCAGAAGCTGGCTTCTAGAGCAGAAGTTGAATATCTTGTTGGATATGAATCAATAAATATTTTTTGCATTTGGATTCCAGTATGATGAAAGGTTATATTAATGAGAGATGTTATATTTGATGAAGATACACTATTTGATTCTAACAAGATTAGCAGTGAGCTTTTATTACAGAAGAGCTTCATTGTGCCAGATACAATATCTTTTGTTGAAGTAAGTGATATTAACAAGATGAGCTTGAGCAAGCATGACAGTGAAGATGAAGACTCTGAGGAGGATACACCATGTGAAAGTCATGAGACTGTTGATCAGTCAATAAGATTGATGAAAACAATGACTAAGACACTAACTGACCAATCAGAAGAGACATGTACATTGTCAACATCAGAGTCTACATCAGAGCTGTTAACTTCAGACATCTACACCCAATCTCTTTCAGATGGTTCAACAATGTCATTGACTGAAATAGAGATGCTGAATCAACTTTCATTGACAGTCAATCATTCTGTCATGAAAGCTATGAAGATGGTGAGTGGTGTTGTAGTTGAGCTGTCTGAAGATATAACATCTACTACACTTTCTGCTGCTAGCCCTATGGGGACAGTGAGCACAAATGATGGACAATTAATAGTCAATTGTTCTGCCACAGAGGCAGTGAGCACTAATGATGGGATTTTGACAGTCAATTGTTTTGCCATGAAAGTGATGAATGACTCAGTCAGAGCAAGCTCAAACAAGCAATCTCCACCTTCTAGATGAAGTGCTAGAATAAGATGTCAAAATGCAGATTGAATTGACAGGTGAACAGCTTATACAGTGATTCTGCAGCAAACAGCACAATTGAATTCATTTTATAGAGGCTATTTAACAGCATTTACAATTATGAATCCTAGACTTCACAGAGAGAATCTTCCAAAGCCTCCAAAGCATTATTTTTCAATGTTGCAACATCCACATGCTGGTGGGTTTAAGACTGCCATGGATGTGGAAATGGAGAAGCTATGAATGAAGAAATGCTTTGAAGAAGTAGAGAGCTTGAAAGAAATACATCCAATCTCTTTAATGTGGATTTATATGTACAAATTTGATGTTAATGGTTTTTTGAAATGTTATAAGGCAAGGCTTGTTTTCCACAGAGATCTGGATATCAATAATAAACATGACATCTATGCCACTACTCTCACTGTGTGAATATTTCACCTTTTAATGGCTATAACAGCTTATTTTAAAATGGAGACCTTTCAGATTGATGCTGTTAATGTGTTCATTAATGCTTCATTTGATAAATCTGTTTATTGCAGGCCAGCAGAGAATTACAGTAAGAAAAGAGGTGTTTGGAAGATTCTATGTGTCTTATATGATCATTCCAAATCTCCACAACTTTGGTACAAAGATCTTGCTTCAACACTCTGAAAACTAAAATTCCATCAGATTTGTGAAGAATCATGTCTATTCATTGATAAGTAGATCTTCCATTTGCGCCGCGGCGCCCGCTTCCGGCCGCTTCGCCCTATGGGGGAACGCGTCGCCCCGATCGGGTTAGCCGTTGCCCTTTCGGGTAAGGTGCCACCCGATCAGGGAAGGCGCGCCGCCGCCCCCGGCCCTAGGCCCCAACTTCTATATAACCGGCCTCAACCTCCCTTCGTCAAGACCACGCACTTCAGTGTCCTTTATCCCTCACAGCCTGCTCATTGTCCACCTTGCTCTCTCCTGGACGCTCTCCGGTGCCCGACCTTCGTCTCCCTGCCTCCCTGCATGACGGCTCGGCTACGTTACTTCCGCCCAACACACCACGATCAGCCCATTTCTGCCTCCTGTTCCTGTCCATGAACTGTGAATCTTTCCGTGGGCCCAGAGGCGTCGCTTGCAATTATTCTTTGCCCAATCCAGTACAGCTTGTCAACTGCATTGATCGCTATTCCTCGGCCTCTATGCTGCCTCTATTGCTTTGGGAGAAGTCCACTTTTCCCTTGGACCATCCAACTCCTGTCAATCTTGCCTGAAACTCGGTCGTACGGGCGCTCGGGGTTGGAGATGGGTTAGAGATGAGGATTTGTGACTCTCAGCGGCCAATAGAAAAAATGCCTCAGTCCTCTAGGCATTGATACTGCGCCACCGGATGATGATGACCGGTCGTATCAACCTTGCCAGCTAGATTTCTGCTTCATTGGGTGAAAAATCCATGCATCAGGCTGTTCGGAGCGCCCGAATGAGACCTTGGAGATGCAGTGGCTGGCTGTTGATGGATGGTGTCCCTGACAGCGGGCCCTGGAAGCAATTCCTCATTCGCTGTGATAATCCTCCACTCGGTCCAGCAGTGGAGAGCGGTGGGCATCCCCCAGTTCATTGTGGCATTCGGCTGCTCATTCAATGCCGGCTCTTTTGCCCCGCCCCTACACATCCCACGAAGAGACCCGTCGCCTCGTATGATCCCTCTTCGGACTAGGCGTAGCAGCATTACAAGTGGGCTTGCCAATGTGTCAGTGACTGCGGCTGATGTGCCGCGGTATTGCATCGTATGGTTACGTGGCCGTGTTTGCCGTGAACAAGAGATCAATCATTTCGTGAAAGTATGCAGGACTGCTGCCGGCCGCCATGCGCTCGGGGTCCCTGAATCATTCATAAAAGCTCCTGCCGACCTAGACCTTTGAGATGCAGCGGCGCACATTGACGATAGCAGTCCTCGCAGCCCACAGCCCACTCTGGCAACAGTCCCGCCACGCTCTGTCGTTATGCAGTTTGTCATCTACACTCCCTCTAATCCTGAACCCAAAACGGCCCTGAAGTTCCCTGACCAGTTTGGACCCCCTCTCACAACCACTTTCCCATCACTGCCCCCCGGACCCCCATCTCCACACCATGCACACCCGCCTCCAAGCCTGCCCGCTCCTCCTGGCTCTTTCCCTCTTTTCCCAGTTCCCGGACGTCTGTCATCTGTTCTACAAGACGTTCCCACACTCCCTGGGCTATCGGCATCGCATACATTGCCAGCCCGCCCACCCTCTGTGATCCCAAACTACCTCCCCTTCAAAGGTGGGGGATGGAGATCAGGCGGTGGCGGCCTTGAGGGCCCGTTGAACGACTTCGAGATGGCATTTATTGAGAATGGTATCGTCGACGCCCTCGAGAGTCAGGCGGAGTCCATTGTGGATTGCACTGCTGGCACTGCTACCCCTTCCAATGACGCTCCTGACCATCATCTGCAGCTGCTGGTCCCCCAAGAATTCTGCGAAAATGAAGGTTTGTCGTTTCCGGTAACCTCATCCCCCCCGTGCCAATGCTGACCATCGCTTAGGGGCCATGGAAATCAATGACAGCCAACACGAACCGCAGAGCGTCCGACCGTCAGGAAATCCCACGCTGTTGCCGCCGAGGCTATCCGGCCTGGAAGCCGGTGATAGCAGTGTAACAGTCGGCATTGAGATGGTATCCAGCGGTCGACCTGGAAATCCCCCTTGTTCTTCCACCGAAAGCACGAGCTCAACCGAATCCATGGTCACATGGGATTCTCCAAGGTCCGTCGGGAGGGAGAGATCCTGCCGGCTCCCCGTTTCGAGGCTGAGGTCGAACCGGTCGGCCGTCCAGATCATGGAGGCTGTAGTGATCCGGGCCTCCTCTAGTCGTGATCAATGGACCTCAAAAACATCGGCCCTTGAACCCGACATTCAGCATGGCCGGGCGGCGCCACGGTCGACCCGGGCGAGCAAACCATCAACGAGACACCGGGCTCACAGGTTTCTTCGCAGTCATCCTATGCTGCCCGCGACCAGCCGTAGTCGCGAACAGCGGACGCACCCTGCCGATGATTCCTCGCGAGATTTGGGTCGGGACGAGCCACTGAGTCGGCGTACCCGCCGGACCACTCGATGGCTCGGAGGCGCCCGCCCACCCAGCCCGAGCGACGGCAGTGACACCATTAGTGGCTCAGACAACGATTATAACCCAGACAAAGTTGCAAATCGACCGTCAAAGCGACGCAGGACCTGCGCGTCACCACCTTTACCGCCCCCGCTACCGGCCAATCAGACACCCAGTCAGCGGCTGCTTACCCCTGAACTTATCTCTGCGCTGGTTTCCGCCATGACGCAAAAACTTCTTGAGACTTTAAGGGGTCCTCCGCCCGCCGCTCTGGCAGCCGCACGATATCCCCACTCATCGACCGATGACGCGACGTCAAAGGTGATAACCAGGAAGAGGGCCCGATGGAATCAGAAAGACGATGACCTGCTGGAGCGCCTCCGGGCCCGCGGCTGGAGTTGGTGGGAGATCAAACAACAGTTCCCAGGCCGAACGTTACCCGCTCTGCAGCAGCGACACATGAAGCTTCAGGCGATGGGAAATGGTCAGTGCCCCAAAGATGAGTGATAGCGCGCATGCCATTATGGAGCTGGAGTCTGCAAGCCAAGAGCACGACCACAGGGAGGCAGCAATGCGTCAGCGGTATTTCAACCAGAGAATCCCAAGGAACTTTCACCGTTAACCAAGGGCGTGATCTTACACCAAGTGCTGTTTTAGTTTCAGAAATCAAAACGGAACTTGAACCAGATCCATTTTGGTGAGAGTTGATGTTCTAGTGGCGCTTACACTTTCTACTCGATTTTTGAATTTAGCATTTTCACGTAGCCAGCCAGGACGCTCTTTGTCGTGATAATATTTTGTGGTTATGACATGGCATCGAATATCGCTTCATTGGAGAACCATGATGTAAACTAGTAGCTTGTAGCTCCAAGAAAATATTTCATCCTCAAGCCACTTAGAGAGAATATTGAGCAAAGGGCAAAATGTTCTGTTCGAAACTTAAGCAGGCCTGCAGTTTATTCGTCGGAGCCGCTTTTGCACCTGGGTAGTAATCTGGATGGAGTACATGGCTGATTCAGTGTTGGTCGAGATGGTTCCGGGATAACTGAGCACAGCATATGGTGCACAAACTGTAGACATCCTTGTTCCAAAAGGCGTAGTGGGGTGAACAGTCATTCATAGGGTTAGGGTTACTGGGCACGTAAGTTCATGACTATTACTTCACACTCCATATCCTTTCAACCTGGACGCATTATTGGATAAAATCTCACTCCACACACACAAACAGGGAATTTGACAAGTGCCTTGTGAGGAGCTTCAATTTTCACAGGGATCGAAACTCTTACCTAAAAAACTCGGTGGCGGTGGTATTTCAAGTTCCAGGCTTGGGCCTCTGGAGAGCAGCTAAGGGCGTGGTGCAGAAGGAGAGAGAGGTGAGTGACTTATGTATTATAGCAGCATATTCAAGCGGTCTCATGTTGGTGTTTAAGATAGTAGGAAGTCTTCAGGAGTGACGTGGTCCGTACTCCCTAACGTCATGTACTTTGAGACAAAATCCTATGGTCACGCCAATCTTAATGTGGCTAGTTAGGGACACCGGACTAACAATTATCCAGCATTCAGGAAACGTGAGATTCGCAACGAGCCGGCCAACTCTTTTCAGTGCTTTCATGATGCAAGTTCCAGAACATGTCGCCCTCCAGATCTGAGATAATAAGCAGCCACCCGATCGGGGGCCGGCTAGATGAGTACTACAATCTATATAACATCTGTCAGCCACTATTTGAGCCTACGTCGACAGATGAAAGCGCGCGCAGCCCGAACATTAAGACGAGGGCGTTCAATTTTCTCATTACCTTTACAACCCTTCCTGCTTGCCATCAGCTGATTTCTCCCAGGGGATCTGGTGCTCTTTACTTGGAAGTCCTACGGCTTGCAGCCAACTTTGAAATTGAGCTTCTTTTACCTCTGTTGAAAGCAGTCCACGACAAAGAACCTGATGAAATCATATGGGATAAGGTCTACGAGGTCGTCACTGAATCAACTCCCACCCCCCGTCCGTTGCACTCTTTCCAGACGCCCTTGACTCGAAATACAGGCAGCGTCGTCAACTCGAGCGAGCTCCGAACCGACATGGACCCCGTGCTAAGGGAGGAGCTGGGCCCGCTACACATTGATGTACCGCGGCTCTAAGACGCCTTCTTTGGAAATATCCCAGAGCTGCAGGCAAACGCGCAGGCGGTCTTTGAGAGGTGTAAGGAGGGAGAGGAACCGATGTTCCGCCAGGGAACTGGCTGGAGCGGATGGCCTGAGGGTGCAAATGAGGCGCCTGTGCTGGCCTGGCTGACAAAGGTTATCGACAAGGTCATACAATTCTTCGAGGAACACGCGTCCGACGAGATAGTTCGAAGAAGGCCCCTAGCGCAGCCTCATAAGCCGCTGAAGGGCTCTACGGCTAAGCGGATGCTGGATATCGGCTTCATGGATGGGACAGACCCCCTCAAGGATGGCAAGTACTCCTGGTCGCAGATACTCGTTCCCGGAGAGCTGAAGAACGACCCGGACTACGAAACCCAGTCCAGGCTCGACCTGGGGAGATACGTGAGAGAGGTGCTGGCCGCGCAGGACTCCCGGCTCTTTGTGCCAGGCTTTACGCTTTGCGGGTCGCTCATGAGGCTGTGGCATTTCGACCGCTCGGGAGGGATCGCGTCGGAGCGGTTCGACATTCATGAGGAAGGCCTTCAATTTGTCTCGGTCATGCTCAGGTATCTGCTGATGACCGAGGGAGATCTTGGATTCGATCCGATGATCGTCACCAACGCCGATGGCTCGCGGTACTTTACAATTGAACGGGACGGCGAGGAGGAGCGTCTCATCATTGATGAGGTGATAAAGCGTGCGCACTGCATCGCCGGACGAGCCACAACATGCTGGAAGGTACACCGCGATGGAGACGAATCCCGAACACCCCTAGTGGTCAAGGGCTCATGGCAGTACCCTGAGCGCGACGAGGAAGGGAAGTTGCTGCGTGAGGCTATGGAGAAGGGGGTGGTCAATGTCGCGAGATATCATCATCATGCAACGGTCCATGTCGGGGGTCGAAACTACGACATCCGTGACGGGGTGAGGAGGGGACTGGACATCACGACGGCAAGCAACTACAAACCAGCCGGCTCCAGACCTCCGCTAAGCAGGAGCGGATCCCGCAAGGGGAAAAGCAGCCGGGCAGCCAGCCGCAAACGGTCCTCTACCTGTGTCGAGCCGTCGCTGCCTCCCAGTAAACGCCCCCAGTCCCACCCTCCGTCGCTCCCCAACCGTGTCTACCGCCACGTCGTAGTCAAAGATTACGGAAAACCAATCTACTGGGCGAGCTCGAGGGTTGCCTTACTGAGCGGGCTGAAAGGATGTATTGAAGGATACGAGTCTCTCCACCAGGCTGGCATGCTACAGTGTGACATATCGCCCAATAATCTCATGATCAATGAGGACACAGGAAACTCGTCCTGGAAGGCGTTCATCATCGATCTGGACCTTGCCATCAAAGAAAACCAGGAAGATGCTTCAGGGGCGCGAGGCAAGACCGGCACGCGAGCGTTTATGGCGATCGGAGTTCTTCTGGACGAACAACATTCCTTCATGCACGATCTCGAATCATTCTTTTGGGTCTTGTTCTGGATATGCATCCACTACGAAGGCCCTGGGAAAGGCCGAGTTGTTAAACGCTTCGACAAGTGGAACTTTATGGATACGGAGGAGCTGGCCAAGCAGAAGTTAGGAACTGTGGCTAAGGAGTCTATCTTTATGAAAACTGTTTCGGACAACTTCACACCTTATTATGAATCACTGACTCCCCATATTAATAAACTACGGAGGGAGATATTTCCGGCGGATAAACCGTGGGAGAAAGAAGATAGACGATTGTATTATAGGATGAAGAAGGTCCTACAGGATGCCCGAGAAGACTCAGTGGTGCTTGAGAAATCATGAGACCCTCAGGCTGTGTACATATTTTGGGGCAAACTGAGTTCTGTATGTATTCTTTCTACCCCATATACATTAATTCTTTGTGGTTTAAGGAGCGCATCCAGAGGCTGGATGAATGCCCGATAAACTTACTTGGTAGTGCGATCCCTAGTGGAGGAAGCCCCTCGTCGGAAATTTCTACGGAGGCGACCAATCAAGTGACTAGATCCCAACCAGTAATTTGGTCGCTTCACGAATTGTCATGAAGCTATTGACAAACGCATTTGGTCTTCCCGCCGCCAAGCTGAACCAGGTACCAACCCAAAACGGTTAGTTAATATGGGTCTTCTCAAAAGCCCTTTTCGTGAGGGACTCTAATCACCAACAAACTGCGCCCATGCAGGCAGAGGCCCGGCTGAAGCCGTGGAGGCTCATATACCGGGATGATGCCGTCGTCTCCTTGCCGCTGACGGCGACCACATAGAAATACACACACCAAAACATCAAAACCGACTCGACTACGCCAGACGTTCACCCGTTGTAACAAGGCCAAAAAGGTCCCTACGCCTGCGATCATCACCGTGCAATCCCACCTCGGTGTCACCGCGAAGCCCTGTGAATAGCAGCGATGAAGACCCAACAGACCTGACAAGCTCCCCAAGCAAAGCACCGCGTCGTCCACCCAATGTTATGGTTGTGGTGCCATCTCGCCGCAGTGACCAGCCTTCATCCCATGGATGTAGGAAGAGCATTTTCTGGGCTGTGTTGCCCCCAGGCTGACAGAGACACAAACCCACTGTCTTAAGGCCAGTCATGTAATAGATCTGTGGATCTGTGCCCAGCCGGGCTTTGAGTCTAGAAACGTGGGTCCGCGGTTGGAAAGCCATGGATGTGGATCCACTCTGGACGTACGTCCACAGCTCTACATCTCCACCAGCCTTAAATCTGTCAACTGGCGGCCTGTGTAGCCAGATAGCCATGGGAGCCACGGGTCTGTAGACTGCAGTCTATATAAGCCACAAATCTCTGGATTCAGGTCTAGAAAGATACATTTGTTCAAGTCTGCTGCTTACGTTTCGCCGGCCGGTCATCATCGTGGTTGGCTTGGAGTGCCTGTGTGATTGTGTTCAGATGGTTGCTGAATGTCATAAAGACCGTGTTCATGCCATCCTCGATCGCCGCATCGAAGTACTGCCCAGGGGGGACCTGCCGGAGATTCTGGTCGTAGTAGGTTGCCTTGTGTGCTCGCGCCTGCTTAGCTGCCATTCGCTCCACTGGAGACGGGTCCGACGGGTCGACCATCATTTTCTGGACTAAGTGATTCCACTCGCCATGTTCATCACGTGCACAGAAGCCAGCCCGCCAAACCTAGTTATGGTTCAGTTCAAGCCAATCATAATCGATTTTTGGTGCCCCCAACCTCATACGACAAGAAGGTTCCTGGGGAGAAGAGAGTATTGGAAACAAAGGGATTATAAGAATAGCTATTTATACAGATATTACTTTTTAGTTGATACGCTCTAACAAGTAACAGTCGATTTAACTTGTCTAGTCCCTTCCTCACCACCAAGACTGATAGCATTCATGGCTGCTTTGAAATTGCCAAGTGCAATCTATTTTATTGCTTGAGCTCTTGGTCTGCGGGGTTTTTTGTCAAGCCTCCATGGGATTCCTTATCAGTGTTCACTCAATGTCTCCCACTCCTGACTTGGTTCAAGACACAGTGCTTCAGAATAATATCAAGCTCGGCATGACCTGTGAGATGGCTTCCCAAGCAAATCTGAAATATTTTTCAATCTTCGTTCATCTTTCTCCCATTAAGAAGTGTGTTGTCCTCTTTCTCCGTCCAACTTCTCTTATAATGGGTTGGCCCCGGATTGCATTGCAGATAACTATACCGGTGTTTGCAACCCTTGGCAGATCGTTTGGGAAGAAGTTTTGAAATCTCGTTCCAACTCTTGTTCATCTTTCTCCCATTAAGAAGTGTGTTGTCCTCTTTCTCCGTCCAACTTCTCTTATAATGGGTTGGCCCCGGATTGCGTTGCAGATATCTATACCGGTTTTTGCAACCCTTGGCAGATCGTTTGGGAAGAAGTTTTGAAATCTCGTTCCAGCCTTTGTTCGCTCTTCTCCCGTTAACAAGTATGTCATCCTCTTCCTTTTCCCAACTTTGAGACGGGCCTATGAGTTTTGGATTGTACCGCATACATCCATATTGTTCAT